ATGAATATGCCACTAAAGTCACATATATATGTTAAACAATTTATTAGCAAGTTGGGATGCTCAATATAATCAATTAACCGTTAACCAAAAGGGTGCGTTTGTAAACAATTAATGGTATCAGTTAAACGATTAAAAATATTATTATATATATTTTTAGTTTGACTGCATAAAGGGCCGATCGAATGGTTTCTAACGGCCGCAAGTGTTTTGCACGCGGCTCATCCCTAAGCAGCAGTTTGTGTTGTCAAGACAACTAGAGAGAACTTTTAAAGAGCATGGTTTCCACTACAAAATATAAACATTTTGCTGTAAAACTGGTCGCACATGGGTAAATTGATGGCTTGCACGAAACATTTTACATGCAAAAAGCCGGCCAGCTGTGCTGCCACGGTCATGTTTGACGTGTTGTCTGTTACAACGACAGGACCTTCCAATTTATGTCCCATTCTTCCTAAGCAGTTTTCAGTAACTCTGCAATGTTAGTCAAGGCAAACAGAAGCTTGTTGATGATGTTATCCAGTGTAGTTTTCCTTGAATCAAGAGGTTTCGGTTGAGGTCGCAGTGCCACTAATTCATCTGCATATGGTGTCTTGTTAAGTGATGACGCAAGTTCGTAGTGTTTCCCGAATATTTTAAGATAGATTTGCAAAGCTTGCAAATGGCATTTTTTTTTGTCTAATTCAGCACTCTGGTATAGTGTTAAAGCCAAAATGCAGCCACACGTCAGCTCTAAAAGCAGGAGGCTCCTTTATATTTTCCACTATGCTCATTCTTGCTAACTGCTGATACAATACTACTTAGCGTTTTGTTGATAGCGAGTTAGCAACATCTACTGGAGCAAAGGAGGAGGTTGTTTGGCACAACATGAATCGATACTTCAGGTTGGACTAACGATACACGATCATGAAATAAATTATCGCAATAGATATATCGATATTTTTGCACAGCCCTATTCCTTGGTCATAAATCACTGTGTGTCATTACACAGCTGACTCAGAGCACGCCAATAGTGTAGTGGACAGTGCGTCGTTAATGAACAGCGGAGCACACAGTGGAGTGAGTTCAAATCTCACTTACAGATCTTGTGTTTTTCTCTCCTTCTGCACCCCTCACATTTTTCTGTATAACATTACTAGAAGTGGCATTCTTGTCTTTTGTAGGAAAATATGTCCATAATTTAAGATGTAGGACGTCGTTCATATGCATACATTCACGCACACACACCTACATTTTTTATATATATAATTTTTTTCAGGGTTTCCAAATGCTATTGTGTGCATTAATTGCAGCCAGTTTTAAAGCTCAATCTGTCACTAAAGGACACTTATAATATGAAATCTGTCCATAGTATAAATGTGCAGGTAAAACTTAATTTTCTGTCCTTAATCTTTTGGTGTTTCAACTATTAAACTCATTACTGCTTCCACTTACCAGCTCATATGTAATGACCCCACCTCCTCACCATGTTGTGGCTAAATGGCTGATTTTCAGGAAGTAATTATTCAAGTGTATAATACAAATATAGTAAAAAAAAAAAAACTGTGAAGCAAATGTTGCTTTACACAATGTTTATTTTTATTATATTTGTATTATACAATCAAATCATTACTGGGCACTACATTGTTATTTGCTGGAGGACAAAAGATACCATTTTCTGCCTTTTATGGTGACACTCTACCTGCAGCCTGACCCAGAGGAAATCTCAGTGACCCAAGCAGACAAAAGAGATTGAAGAGTGCTAAGAAATATAATTTCTCAAAAAACTGTTTAATCAAATAGTTTGGTCTGTTCATTTCTCCATTTCCTGAAATAAAATGAATGATTTTTTACAGTGCTTTATACACGCACCTTTTAACGTGTAACATATTTTTTATATACATTTCTCACCTTAAGGTGATGCATGTGACTTTATTTATCTTTGAAGATGGATCTAATACAGCTATATATATATATATATATATATATATATATATATATATATATCTTTTTTTTTTTTTTAATAAGATAATTAAATACACAAAATATAAGATTTTGTGATCCAAAAGTAAAATTCAAATATGGAAAAGTGCAGACAAATTCTTACACTGCTTGTCAGTTGAGGCAGAAGGAACTTCTGCCTCAGCATAAAAGCATAAAAAGAACCTAAAGCTACCTGTCAACAATCACTTACAACAGTGACAGATTGTGTGGTTTAGGTCAAATAACTCAACCACTGATGAGTCTTTATTGAAGGACATAGCAGCTCCTCTATCTGGTTGCCCACAGCAGTTAGACAGGCCTCTTTCTATTAGCTGCATGACAGAAAGAATATTTTAGAGTGTTAAATACAGAGCTCCAGTAATTAAATATTACCTTTTAGGGGAATGTTTCTGTGTTTAATGACTTTGGACAGAGTTCTAGCTCCAGAAAGATTATTTCTATAAGCCTTACATATTAGTCAATACATATATTGTGGCCTTAAGAAATTAATAGCAGGAAAATTAAATGCATGAATGGTTACACAACATACTTAAAAATTATGTTAAAGAGAAGTTTAATTGTTCATTAGCATAAAATAGAGAGTGGCATGTGTAATTTAATTAACAAACTTTCTTATTATTTATTTTTTCTCAATTATTTCTTATTCTCTACATTTCTTTCCTTCGTTGATGCAGATGTGTAATGTGTTTGAAACCTTTAGCTCCGCCTCTGTAAAGTGTGATGCCTTTTTTTTTTTTTTCTCACCGTCACTTTCTATGGTGACACGTGAATTCGGCGATCTACTGAAAAGGCCTTCAGGTATGTGCCGTGCACGCGCATTAACCCGCGGTTATCTTCAGGAGGTTGATTTATCTAACTCTTTATCACCTGTTTTGGAACCAACATACTCGCAGTAAGCAGGTTTTGGGTAAATCAACCGAGAGTTCAGGGTTTAGCAGATGGTAAGTTAACCCAGCTTTCTGGAATACACCCTGCTCTGTCTCTTTGTTGTGTTAGAGAAAGCAGGGAAGATTCACTTACTACTCCATGGCCGAATAATGTTAGTTTCAAGGTGAACTGCCTTCTCTTTTTGTTGCAGCCGGTGAATGAACGAGTACAACATATTTATTACTTTCCGTGTGGTACAACAAATCAGTCACTGAAAATAGTCTCATTGTCCATAAACCGCTCCTCCTTTCTCTCTCCTTCTCCGCTTCACACACCCCCAAACTGCAGCCCAGTCCCGCTAAAGGACCTGCACATTTTACAACACGTGTAAACATAACGGTTGCTTGTAATCTGATTTTTTGTCTTATCAACTCGTTGCTTGCCATGTGTTGTTGATGTAAGATTGTATTCAATTTAATCGGAATATTCATATTGATTATATCAAGCGCGCGTGAGAGCTGTCACTACACACACACACTGTAGCACGGGAGAGAGGAATTGCAATTGACAGCAAGAATGAGCGCATAAGCGTTGTCTGATTGACAAGCAGCACCTACACGTGTTCAAAAGGATGAATCTGTGTCGCATTTTCTAAATGTACTAAATCATACTATCTGTATTTAGCTGTTCACTTGTTCGGTGGCTTTAAACTGTCAATACACCTCCAAAAAAGGCTTTTTCGGACATGACATTTGTACATGTGTACATCACTGTAAAACATTTTATTCAAGACCATTTGAGCTGGTTTCGGTCCTTAGCTCTTTCATTTTCATCTTATTTAAATATATTTAACTTGCTTCATGATTAAATTCCATTTTGTTATTTAACCTATTATTTTTATGCAACAGTCAAGTTGCATGTTAATTTGCTTTTTGAAGAAAAGGAAATAATGGATTGTTTGCATGCTAATTTATGTGAAATGGTGAATATAGTTATATAATCACCTTGCAATTCTGAAGTTATAGCTTTTTGCTTTGAGCATAGACTACTCAGTTCATAAGAGCAGTTCAATCTTTGATGAAGTTTGCTGTATAAAAATATACCATTTTGAAATATTTATAATTATTGGCCTATACATATCGGCTATCGGCCTCCAATTCTGAAGAATTATCGGTATCGGCCAAAAAATCCATATCGGTGCATCCCTAAATAGAGGCCAATGGAGAAAAAAACAGCCATGAATATAACAAAAAGGGAGTTAATTTGCAGAGAGTCTATTGAGTTTAATTTTTTTTTTTTAAAGCAATTTCCCAGTGATGGGGAATTAATTTATTACTAATTTATTACTCTCGTTTACATGCTTATGAGTGATTTCAGTGTTGTTGTTGTTATTATTATTTTCTATTGTATTTTATTTGCAATCAAACAAAAATTGTTATTATAGAGGCCAACGAAGCATTTTTGTCAGAATATGTCGAAATAAGATGTCCCCAAATATTAGTCCATTTGCTTAAACACAGAGAACCTTTGGCCAAATTAAGTCTTACAATCACCCCAGAATGGATGAAAATGACCCAACCACACACAAGGGGAAAGGTGCACATTTCAGCCTTTATGCACATGTTGTACAGGTATGTCTCATGTCTGCGAGGCAAATATTCAGCTGTTACTCCAGAACCTTTTTTTCTGATGCGTTTACCAGTCAGGGACACAATGAACAAGCATTCCCTGTTTGCTTTACAAATTTTAGAAAAACATTTTGTAGTAATTGTGAGTATATACAAATAAAAATAATCATTTACAGCTTTCAAATCTGTCTTATCAATATGACCAAAATTACTTTTATGATCAATTATGTAAGAAACTCTGAAAACTGGACTGACACAGTTTTAATTTACTATAACTTCTATTTTAAGCGGCTTTGACACAGTTTACATTGTAAAAGCCCTAGATAAATAAAGATTAATTGAATTGAATCTCCTTAAATGTGTACACATTAATGGACCGAACAAAATATGATCTGATTTATTTTACATTTAATCTGCATCAAAATTTCAGTATGTGTAGCCCATGTTTCCAGTGTCTTTTCATTTTTCAGCTTTTGATGAGTTTTTAAGACTTAATGAAAACTGTTTTATTTATTTTTATTTCAGACCTAATTGGAGAGAATGAGTGGAGTAAAGAGGAGGAACATCATGTCAAAATTGAAGAAAAAACTCATTTACAGACTGATGGTATTTTGGAAAGGAGAGACACGAATTGTTTCACCTGCACTCAGCGTGGAAAAAGTTCTGGAAGAAAAGGCGATCATAAGATTCGCATGAGGACCCACATTGGAGAGAGACCATTCACATGCACTCAGTGTGGGAAGAGTTTCAGACAATTATCACAACATAATCTACATGTGAGGATCCACACTGGAGAGAAACCATACCCATGCACTCATTGTGGGAAGAGTTTCAGATCATCATCACAACTTAAACGACATGTGAGGATCCACACTGGAGAGAAACCATACCCATGCACTCAGTGTGGGAAGAGTTTCATATCATCATCACAACTTAATCAACACATGAGGATCCACACTGGAGAGAAACCATACCCATGCACTCAGTGTGGGAAGAGTTTCATATCATCATCACAACTTAATCAACACATGAGGATCCACACTGGAGAGAAACCATACACATGCACTCAGTGTGGGAAGAGTTTCAGACAATTATCACAACTTAATGGACATATGAGGATCCACACTGGAGAGAAACCATACACATGCGCTCAGTGTGGGAAGAGTTACACCGTATTATCAAACCTTAAAAACCACATAAAGATTCACACTGAAGAGCAACCATTCACATGCACTCAGTGTGGTAATAGTTTTAACTGCTTATCATACCTTAAACGACACATGAGGATCCACAGTGGACAGAAACCATTCACATGCACTCAGTGTGGGAAGAGTTTCAGACAATTATCACACCTTAATAACCACACGAGGCTCCACACTGGAGAGAAACCATTCACATGCACTCAGTGTGGGAAGAGTTTCAGATGCTCAACACAACTTAATGTACATATGAGGATCCACACTGGAGAGAAACCATACACATGCCCTCTGTGTGGGAAGAGTTACACCGTATTATCAAACCTTAAATACCACATGAAGATTCATCCTAAAGAGAAACCATTCACATGCACTCAGTGTGGTAATAGTTTTAACTGCTTATCATACCTTAATCGACACATGAGGATCCACACTGGACAGAAACCATTTACTTGCACTCAGTGTGGGAAGAGTTTCATCCGCTCATCAAACCTTCATAAACACATGAGGATCCACACTGGAGAGAAACCATACACATGCACTCAGTGTGGGAACAGTTTCAGCCAATCAACACACCTTAATCAACACATGAGGATCCACACTGGAGAGAAACCATTCACGTGCACTCAGTGTGGGAAGAGTTTCAGCCAATCATCAAACCTTAATAAACACATGATGATCCACACTGGAGAGAAACCATTTACTTGCACTCAGTGTGGGAAGAGTTTCATCTGCTCATCAAACCTTAATAAACACATGAGGATCCACACTGGAGAGAAATCATTCGCTTGCACTTAAGCCGTGGTCACACTGGACTTTTCCCCATAGATTTCCATTCATACACAAGCGAATGCGGCAGACCAGAAATGCAAGTTCGTGCATCAAGTTTTGCAGTTCACTGCATTGCAAAGTTCAAGCTTGGTGAACTTGACAGTGTGAGACTAATGGAAGATCAAAACATGACCTCTCTGGACAAATGTAAAATATGGACCAATCGCTCATTTTTTAAATGTCTAATTGTCTTGTTTAATCCCGCCTCTTTTTGCAGCGCCGTACAACAGAATTCAGCATGCTCAAACTCTAGTGTGACCGCAGCTTCGGTGTGGGAAAAGTTTCAGCAACTCCTCAGACCTTAATAAACACATGAAGGCCCACACTGGAGAGAAACCATTGACATGCACTCAGTGTGGGAAGAGTTTTAACCAATCAGCAAACCTTAATAATCACATGAAGATCCACACTGGTGTAAAAGAATATGTGTGCTTAAATGTGAGAAGACTTTTATTAAAGCGCCAAAATTGAAACTGCACCAGACGATTCACACTAAAGAGACCGTACATGTGTTCACAATGTGACGAGGTTTAATCAGTGAACACATCTGAAAACACAAAAGAGGATTCACACTGGAGAGAAATCGTACAGATCTGATCAGTGTCTACAGAGTTTCGCTCATTCGATGCAGCTTAAGAAACACGTGGACAAAAAGTTGCACACATGACATGAATACAGCAAAACATTTTCACATGTGCACAGGACGTTTCATGTCTGAATAATGTTTGAAAAGGCTGAGTGGTGGTGTACTGTTTTCCTACACTGCAATAGGTGCGTTGTAAATGTGTTGCACTCCTTGCGTTTACTGTAAACACAATGACAGCGGTTGAGAGAAGAACAGTTTCATAAACATCTGGCAAACAGCACCTCTGTGTCTCTTTGAAAGTGATTGTACAGGTGCGGATACATCTGTACTCTACTCTTCAGTGTATTCATGTAGCTAGTGTTGTTTTGGATGATGTTCTCTGTCTGACTCCCTGAATGAGAAACAAATCACTGGGAAGACACTGCACATTAATAAGAAGGTGGAGCTCCAGGACGGTTAGTTTGCAGTATACCAGGGCCTCAAGTTTAGAAAGCCCATTCAATTGTCCTGTTTTGCATCTTTTTTTAGTAAAGTTTCATTCATTTTAGGTTCAAGATTCTTTCTAGTTTACTACATTTACTTTTTTGAGTAGAATACAAACTTGATGAATATTTTATGATTTAGGCAGAGTGACAGGTAATACAATGCAATATTAATACACTTTGATGATCACAAGACTCCAGATTGGCATTACTCATCAATGGGTATATAAAAGTTGTTGTGCTAGCTACCCCAGGACGCTGTGGCTACTCAGGAGTCCTCATGTCAAGACCTGCCATCTCATTGACTCTTTAACCTTATGGTTTTGTTTTGCATTACCTATATCATGTAGTTAAAGTGTTGTTGTAATAATATTCTAAGTTCTTTATCTTCATTACAGGGTTTCTGCAGGGTATTAAAAAGTCTAAAATTTAATAAAAAAATCTAAATTTAAGGACTTTAAAGTCTTAAATTCCCTGTTCTAGGTCTTAAATATTTTTACACAGGTCTTATTTTTCCGATTACCATGTAAAGCTAAATCAATTATTCATTTAAATTCTTTTTTTTGTTGTCGTTTTTATTTCGGTTTAATTAAGTTTTAAGTTCTTCTTCAAAAACACCATAATGACCACATTCTCCAGTGAGAAGCTTGATCTCTGTGCAGACACAGACATAGTGATGCTCATTTTTGATCAAGTTTTCATTTAGATAGATAGATAGGTTTCAGTTTAAATGAATGAAGAAATATACATATACTGTGTTTCTAAAGTGTTTTTAAATGACATATTCACCAGTAAAAAACATTGCAGTTTTGTCTGCAACTAATGTTACAGTTGTAGCCGTAAAGGTTGTATTTTTACCTCCCGTTAGTGATTCGTAAATTGCGGTTATATCTACTGGCGCTGCGGATAAACCACGGGTCGGGTAATAAAAAAATACATTATAATTAGCTAATTGCAGTGGAGATATCATATAATTAGGACATGGCAGCGAATCAGCGAAAAAGCAGAGATTGGCCTTTGCAGAATGGGTAGTTATGAGACGCCCAATAATGAAGAAAGTGCAAGAGTAGCCTACTGTTCAAAGTTTCAGTTAGAGGAGTCAGGAAAATCTGCCATCGTCCTGGAAGAAACAAGATCGCTTATTTCCATGACTGCAGCACCTTGCAAGGAGAATCATTCCTACAACACACGGTGCAAGCGAACGCTCGTTCACTGCAGTCTGCAGCTGGCTGCGTTTTAGAGGCGAGGCGGAGAAGGCGCAGGGATATAAAGACAGGGAGAGAGCGCTTTTTCCTTTGATCTCGTTTTTGGTGTATTTTGCTGACATGATTATGATTTTCCTTGTTTATGCTTAACTTTCGTTTGGGTAAAATTATTTTCCATTACGTTTGCCCACTTTGAGAAATGTAGTGAGTTTTGCTCATTTTTATTTAAATTATTTTGTATGCTTTTTTTTTTTTTGGCTCTTTCCTGACAATATTGAGCTAGCCTTTATCTCCTCAAGTTCACTCTTACCTCAGAGTTAGGTGGAAAGGGAAGATGTCGTACAATTCCATTTTGCAAACATGTAGAAAATGTATTGTTAAAGACATCAGGGGCCTGTTTCAGTAAGGAGGTTCAAACAACTCAGAGTTTAAACTTGAACTCTGAGTTGATTTACCGAGAGATTAAAAACTCAGAGTTTTCGGTTTCAGAACAGCTGATCTGAGTTGGGTCAATCAACTTCGAGTAGACCAACTCAGAGTTAAGCGCACACACCGTGACTTTAAAAAGGCATTATCAATAGAGCGCAGACATTACGAGTGACTATGGCAATATCTTATAAAAGAGAACACCATTTCTTTCTCCAGCTGAACTTGATGTTCTCATGCAAAGTTATAGCAAATATGAGCGTATATATTTGAAAAGAAGCAACCATCAGTAAAGAAGAGACTGTTAGCGTGGGAAAACAGCTGCTCAAGTTAATGCCTAATTTCACTTTTCAAGTATTTAAATATTTAAGTATAATAAAATAAGTAATGTAATTTATGACGTTTATATATATTTTTTCTAAACTTTTTTTACACATTTATTAGTTTTAAATGATTTAGCAGTGCACTTGTGTGTCTGCCTTTTTTATTGATCAAGTGATAGAGGTTAATATAACATTTAGAGAGTAAGCAGTACTAAAAATAATTTTTAGAAAGAATAATAATCCCATTAATCTAGTTACAGTGCATGTCGAAGGTAAATTTGATTTAATTATTTATTAAAAAAGGATAAGCCATTCTCGTACAGTTCTTCTGTGTGTGACTAAAATGTAGGCAATAGCTATGTTTCCATCCAAATATATTACATAAATTTATGTGCAAAACTGCAATATTACATAAAAGATGCGAATAAAATTCCATCCAACAAGTCAAAGAGAAAAAAATCGTCACTTCCTGATTAAACTGGCACCAAATATCAACAGTAAAAACAGAATTTACTGAGGTAGAAGAAGCTGCGTCGTTTATTTAGCCTAATTAATGTACTTGCGCCTCGATTTCAGAAGACCATGCTTTAACACAATGAACACGTGGGGGCGTCTGAAGCCATGAGACGCGGAGACTCTTGACACGCACCAGACGTTCGGAGGTAATTAATAATATACACTAATACTGAAACAGTTAAGGCATTTTAGAATGACTAAAACAATATTTAAGACATGTTACAGTGTGCTCAGCCTGCTGGTTTGTTCACACATTTTCATTATCATATGATCATGATCTTTTTTTAATGTACATACTGTAATTTGTTCAGTAAAAGTGTTCCCATCATAGTTTATGCGCACATTTTCTATCGAATAAAAGTTTATCCTTCTCAGTTATGCGCGTTTTTTATGCATTTTTAAAAAGTTATGTGCATCATGACGTTTCCATCAATCGTTTTTATGCACATCTCCAAAATGAGCATTAAAATAGGTGGGTGGAAACGTAAGGCTAAGGCGAGAAATACTGCTTCATCTTTAAAAAAGGGGAGGAGACCGACAGAAACTCTGAGTTTAGAGAATAAAACCTGCTTCTGACCAGGTTAGATTCACAGAGTAAGTTACCACAGTAACTGACTCTGAGTTAAAGTTACCTCTCTTTCAGAAACAGGCTTGACTTACCCTGCTTTCTCGAGTTTAACAAAACTGCCATTTTGAAACGGAAAACCCAGAGTTTCTCTCATTTCAGGGTTAAAATACTCTGAGTTTTCAGTTAACCTCCTTTCTGAAACAGGCCCCTGGTAAGAGGTGAATGTCATCTTTGTTTATTTTATTCAGTATAGGGAAGTGTTGTCATTATACACACTGCGCTGAAGGACTTTTTTTTTTTTTTTTTTCATCAGTTTTTAGCGAGGTAAGGGGTAATTCATGAATTAGAATTGTTTTGTTATATTTCTTTCTTTTGTTTGGCTTCACTATCATCCCCTTACGCGAGTTTATTTAGTTTTTGTTTGATACTTTGTTTGAATTTGCTACATTATTATATTATTTTTATTATTATTTTATTTCTCTTTTTTGTATATATTTGGACATTATTCTGCTTTCACTTTTTTACATTAAATCACTTTACTTGGAAGTTCTGTTGCAGTCTTTTGCTTACACCCTTACATTGTGAAATTACCATAATAATTCTTATGACTAAGTTTCGTGAAAGTTACGACACATAGGCGTGCGCTTTTTCTATGACACGAATTCTGTTCCTGTACTCCACTGGAAAACCAAAATGCTTCTACACAGGCGACCTAACACAGGGAGCTGCAATCTCCATATATGTGAAGCAGCCATCCTGCGTATACAGTAGTAACCAAGTGATCTCTCACTCAAGTCACTTGACATGGCTTGCACTTGA